ATGCCATCTGAGGACTAACTATATGATTTCGGGAAACACCGACTCATTGAACTATAGGCTGATAATAATAGAAATTGTACCCATAATTGGCTAAATATATTTTTGGGAAAGCATTTTGAGATGATCTGCAGGTTCAACATGACTAATTAATTTTTGTGATTTTTTTTTATTTGGCAACCACTACAATTCAAAAGTTTTGGGTCAGTTAATGTGTGTGTGTGTGTGTGTGTTTTTTTTAAAGAAACTTAAAGCTGCAGTCCGTAGTTTTCCCTCGTTACGATCTCTAATTGCGGTTTATCGCGGAATTATCAACTTTACATGGGTTGTGCCTCGGCACGGCACAGCACAGATGAATCCAATGTTTGAAGAGAATGTGTGGCTGTCAGTCGCTGTGCCGGTGTGGATACTGGGATCCAGAATCACAAATTCTACTTTTCGGAAGTGTGACCATCGTAAGAACTTTCACCAGAAAATGTCATCTGAACAAGTAAGTAACATTCACTTTTGTTCTGACCAACTAAGGGAAAAAAAACATTGCAGTAAATCGCGCTGATTAAATCTAACGATATCGACGATATCATATCACTTCAAACCGTGCAAATTATACTTTGTTCTCAAATTGTTAATATTAACAACATCAGCAGCATTGTGTGACTACATTTAATGCATTTCCGTTATTTATCATTGTTTTCGCATGGGCCGGTTGCGGTCTCATTTTTTTGTGTAGCCACTCCGAAATCCGAACAAAGTATTTTGCATTTTACAATGGGTGAATCTTGTCAATGGTGATGTCGTTTCTGGATCCGCCACCAAATTGATAAGTTTATATCAAGTGCAGTGAGAAAAGGCTATAACTCTCCACCAACATCCTCACTCGCAATATAGCCTACTAGCCGAGACTCTTCTTTATGTGTACAGATGTGACGTAATGACGCGAAGACATACTTGAATTTCCCGCGGAAATCCACCAGTACCACTGGAATTAAAAACATTATTACAAGCTTACCGTTTTGAATCGAGCTAAGGCAAGCAGATAGTTTTGAACACTAGCTGGTTTATGTACTTGCTCAATTTTATTTTGGATAATTTTTAACCCAAAAAAAGTTACGGAATGCAGCTTTAATTTAAAACTTAAATTTGACTCACCCTCAAGTTGTTCCAAACCTGCATGAATTACTTTCTTCCGCTGAACACAACAGAAGATATTTTGAAGAATGTCAGTAACCAAACACTTGATGATATATTCCATAGTATATATTTGAAGAGTTCAGATGCAAAAGCCTCTAAATGCCATTTGAAATTTTCTTCTTTAATGATGATTTTTATCAAACTTGTATATTTAAGTTCAGTAATTTCACTTAAATGGCAATGATAATTACCTATTAATTGTTATTTAAGTGAAATTACTGAACTTAAATATACAAGTTTGATAAAAAAATCATCATTAAAGAAGAAAATTTCAAATGGCATTTAGAGGCTTTTGCATCTGAACTCTTCATTTGTTCTTCCATACTATGGCAGACAATGGGGCCCATCAACCGTTTGGTTACCCATATTTTTCAAAGTATCTTCCTTTGTGTTTAGCAGAAGAAAGAAATCCATACAGGTTTGGAACAACTTAAGGGTGAATAAATGACATAATTTTAATTTTGGATGAACTATCTCTTTAATATTTCTATCCATCAAGGAAGAATTAAATTGATCAAAAGTGACATTAAGGACATTTATAATATTATAATGACATTTAAAACAGTTATTTTAATAACAATATCACCCATTTTGTTTTTGATTAAATAAATGCAGCCTTCATGAGCATATAAGAGACATCTTTTAAATGCAAACCTAACTTTCGAATAGAAGTGTATGCAGGTCATTTCTTTGAAGGGGCAACACTTTTTGTCTTGGGTCACTTGCTGAAATTTAATTATAAAACATAAATAGTTGTTTATACTTAATAGTTTTTTTAAGATGGGTGCATTCGAAAAGGCAAAAACAATCCCTCATTTTTAAATTCAATGTCTGATATCAGTAATACAATAGCTATTATCCATCCATCCATTTACAGTATTTGTAAATGTGTACTTCTGATTTTGATTCATTTGCACATCAATATTGATCAATGTGATTAGACTTCATCTATTCTACTTGGAATGAAAAGTAGGTCATGGATATAGTCTGTTGTGACTAGATGTCACACCCTTGATGATTATCTGTGTTTAGGTTAGAAAAGAGTTTAGAATCTGCAACGAGTGTGAAACTGTACAGATCATTCTGTAAGTCTTGCCGTTTCAAACTCTCTAAAATACTAAGTAGGCCTTGGTTTATTACCAGTTCTATGATATCAAATGATGCATACCACCCCCCACCCCAGATTTAGTTTACATGCATTTTTATGGGCTTTTAGAAGTATTGTAATACCAATTAAATTAATTATTATTCATTTTGAGGCTTTTGTGCAGTATGTAAAAACTATGCCACGACTTCAATGCTTCAGAGTAATTGGTGTCGCCCTCTATCTCTCAATATGTGTGAGTGACCCAGATGTGAAACCGGGTGACTGACACACATCCGATTCAAATAATTTACTATTTGGGACGTCATCAAAGAAAAATGAAAGAAAAAATTTAAGTAGGCCTACAGTTTTAAAAGCTGAACAACTATTTTCTGTGCACTTTCATATTAGGCTATAATTCATTAGTTGTATAACCACAAAAAAACAACACAATCAGAAATGACAAACACTTGGACCTATTTTTAACTTTAAAGCAAACATAAAAGACTTTATCATTTTTAATTTGAGCTCTTAATTTAGGCTAATGTAGGCCTTATTTTTTCATTTTCATTACTGTTTTCTTGAAGTTCACAGAAATAATGTTTAATCGTTGCACTAGAATTGGATTTCCATATCGGCTTGTTTGCTAAATATCTTGCAGAATATGTTCTTTCCCCTAAAAGTTATTCATCCAACTTACCCTGGAATTTTGCACACGTTCCTGCCCTTTGGATTGAGTTCTTGACTGAAAACGGGACACAAGCATAGAAGCAAAAGCACTAAAACCGTTAAAGTGCCCTTTAGATCCATGGTAGAAGAAACAGCATCTCTCCATGCGCCTCTTCTGTTCAGCATTCCTTTCTTTTACAAACTCTAGAAGTTCTGACGGGATATTCTGTATCACCTTAGTCTCAAAACCTTCGACTTCAAGCGTTTGTAAGTTACTTTATCCGCATAAATAGTTTATCCACACTCTTTCAGACTCCAAAGGCTGAGGCAGAGGAGAGAAAAGAGGAGGAGAGGGCGCACAGAAGTTATAAAACCAAACAGTTATTCCCTCCGTCCAGCCCCAGTTCCTGAGGAGAACTTCTGCTTTTATTAAGCGCTCCAAACACTGCTGGATGTAACTGCTGCATTGCTGGAAACTTCTGACACCCTGAGATTCCCGCCGTTGTTTCCAAAACGTAGATTTTCAGAGAGGATATGCTGCTTCAAGGCATGTCAAGAAAAGAAAAAAAGTCTGCAAAACTTTATGTGCGTCCATTTTGGAAAAAACACGTAGACTTTAAAACGGTCGTTGTTCTCTTTTCAGAAGGAAAATTCTTAATTAGTGATCCTATCTCTGGCTCCGGCTCTTGGGAATTCGATGCGCCTGCTCTCTTTGGCGTGCAGCGGTTTTCCCAATTCTAACCGAAACCACCAGGAGCAGCTCCTCATCGAGTGGGTGTGACTTAGTATATGTTTAGGACTTAACCATGCATCCCTCCAGCCCCCCTTATAACCTCCGTCAACATGCTCGCGCACGAGCGCATGCACGCCATATGTAAACACAACCAAACCAATAAATCGAATAGTTTTATTTAAACAAATCCCTCTCACACACAGAGAACTTGGATAAGCTATCAGACCTGTAGAATGGCTGCTGAGGGGGATAACTAAAAAAAGCAGGAGGGATGCATGGTTTAGTATATGTTTAGGACTAAACCATGCATCCCTCCAGCCTCCTTACTAACATAGACAGTAGTTTACTAACCTCCGTCAAACATGCCCGCGGCGCACGAGCGCATGCACGCCTCATTGAGGAGTTAGCTACAACAGTGGTTTATACATTTAAATAGTATAATAGGCTGGTAAACACAACCAAACGAATAAATCAAATAGTTTTATTTAAACAAATCCCAGAGAGAGAACATAATTGTATAGTTGGATAAGCTATAAAACCTGTAGAATGGCTGCTGAGGGGAAAACATAGTGCAGTGCAAAATGCAAATTCTTGCTTTGAGAATAAAGAATCGGAGTGGAACACAGATTTGATCAAATCACAAATAATTGACTTAAATTTGAGTTTAAATGGTGTGTGAATGCTGCTTCACACTAATATGAGAAGATGGGACAACTGGTGATGTCTGATGGTCAATTTGTTTTAATGATTTTAAGATTTGTTTTGCATAAGCACACTGCAGCATAGCATGGGTATAATATATTGTATTTTATTGTATTTTAGTGATTTAGTATGTTTAAATAAATAGTTTTAAAATTCAAACGTCTCTCTCTCTCTCTCTCTCTCTCTCTCTCCCTCCCTCTCCCTCCCTCTATCATAAATAAATACGTAACTCTTTTTGAATAAATAAATAAAAATCCTTAGCTATTATTTTTGTTTTCATCAATAAGTTGTGGATGTCACCAGAAGTTTTGTCAGATTAGTTAAATCTTTACCCTCAGTCTTGTAAAGTGAAATGGCAATACAACGGCTCCCCCCACTGTTAACTTCATGAAACGTGCACAACAAAATGTCACATCACGTACGTCAACAAGCAAAACAGCAAGATTAAAAAGGCAAGAGTCAATAAGCAGTCCTTGTATCGATTTTGTTCTCGGTGTATTGACATCACCACATTGTATATTATTTGTGTAGCCTAACCCTCTATGTTATTCAAATTAATATGTATTCATTAACACATCAGAATTATAAAACTGATGTTTGCGTGGGTTCACGTCAGTAAACAGGAACGTCACGGGATTTGTACCAATCAGTGAGCCCAGATTTGAATATCGACACAGGTAGCGTTAATGTGCTCAAGGACAGAGTGGTTTCCAAAAAACACCAGGCGATCTAGCCTATGTTAGCCTATGTTTTTTGCACATTGTCAGTAAAGAAGTCTTGAATTGATGTCTCTCCGCAAAACTCTTCCAGCTTTTGCGTTCGCGACTCGTGAAAGGAGTTTTGCTATCTCCACTCATGGTTATCAACGGAGTGTGCAAGCGTTACATTCAACCAAAACACACACTCAAGAGGAGCATGTGTCCTTCAGTAACAACATCTCTATTGACTTTGAACATACCAAAGAAGCCTACAAGAGCAAAGACACCCTTGAGTTACTGAGAAGCTTGGTAGTTTTCAAACTTTGCACCTATGACGTCCTGGTTGATTCGAATAAAGAGGTATGTAACGTTAACTTAATGTATTTAATGCATATAGAATGCATTCATAAAGAGTCTTGTACAATATGTGACAGACTTCCATGAATTCCTGTATTGGAGGAATCCTCTATCTTGTGAGATGATTGTCCTGGATGATTGACAGGAATGGCACCTTGCCAGGAAAGAAGTCATGTGGTTAGTGAGTGTAGAGTTACTGTCAACTGGCAAGGATAGAATAAACCTCAGAGACATATCCAAATGTTTTTAACCTTTAGGACGTGTGTTTTTATCCAGCTGAAAACGCTAGACGCTCGCTTTGGGCGCTTGGCTTGAGAGCGTTTTGGCAGCGCACCGTTTTTTTCCGTTGAGACGTTTCGTTGCTATGATACAGAATATCCTCAGCAGTTGAATGTTGTGACAGTTGGTCGGTGTGGTATTAGTCCCGCCCCTCCTTTACTGTGATTGAATGGCTGGGTAAAAAGTGACAGTGATGAGCGCTGCGTTTTATCCAAAGTTGAACGTTTTTCAACTCCCAGCGACCAGTAAAAACGATGGACGCTCGGCGCTTCAGCGTGAAAAAAACGCTCAGCGCCTCGGTACGATCATGGCGTTTAAAAAACGCGGCGCTCCCATTGAAAACAATTAGAAAACATACGCCAGGCGCGTGGAAAAACGCTTTGGTGGACACACGGCCTAAAGACACCACTTAAAAGGAGTAGTTAACTTTAAATAAAAAAAAAAAATTGCTGATAATTTACTCCAAGATGTCCATGTCTTTCTTTCTTCAGTAGAAAAGAAATTAAGGTTTTTGATGAAAACATTCCAGGATTTTTCTCCATAAAATGGACTTCAGTGGGAACCAAACGGTTCAAGGTCCAAAAGACAGTTTCAGTGCAAACTGCAAACTGTTCAAAGGGCTTTAAACGATTCCAGACGACGAATAAGGGTCTTATCAAGTGAAACAATCGCTCATTTAAAAAAAAAAAAAAAAAAAAGAATTTTTATAAGCTCAAATGCTCGCCTTGCTCTATTTTGTGATGAGCGTTCGTGACTCCTGTTCGAACTCGTTCATCAAAATGAACCATTAATGAGTCCAAAAATGAAAATGTTGGGTGTTACCCTCACATATCAAACCAGTGCTGAAAAAAAAGAAGATATTTTAAAGAAATTTGCTACTGAACAGTTGATGGACCCCATTGACTTCCATAGTAGGAAAAATACTTTGGAAATCAATGGCTACCGTTAACTGTCTGGCTACCAACATTCTTTAAAATATATACTTTTTGTCTTCAGCAGAACAAAGAACAACCTGAGGTTATGTAAACAATGGCAGAATTTAAATTTTAAGGGTGAACTATCCCTTTAAATATTGCTAAAAAATGAAATCAGATCATACTATAACATGTGCATTGTGCATGCTTTGACAATTTGATTTCTGTCTCCTACAGATAATAGATCTCAGCAGAAAGCTGTTAGGACAGAAGATGTTTGAGCAGTTCATGAAGTTGACGTTCTACGGTCAGTTTGTGGCGGGCGAGGACCATCAGTCCATCAAGCCTGTAGTGCAGAAGAACCAAGCGTATGGAGTGGGAGCTGTGCTGGATTATAGTGTAGAAGAGGATCTCTCACAGGAAGAAGCTGAGAGGAAAGAGATGGAGTAAGTGGTCTCTTGTAGTTCTGGTCCCTACATCCGCAAACTACCACGGCGTGTTTAAGCTGCTTCCATCGATCGGAGGTAAGGTGAATGGAAAGATTTGTGAGCAATTGAACAAAATAATGGTGCCTATCGTCTAGATAGGAGACAGTTACTCAACATTTGAACTGGTCTGCAAGCATTTATTCACAGAAAACATGATCCAGACTTGACCAATTAAGGGCCAGATAAATAAACCGGTGATATAGATCACACCAGAATATAAATGAATGCAATTATTTTGCTCCATAGAGAGCTATAGTGCTTAATTTAAAGCAGCTCATTAAGAATTTGTGCTAGTTGCAGGTTTAGTGAATACTTAAGTGTTTTGAAAACTTCTTGGCCCTCCTAGTTTGCATGGCAGTGTGCATCTGAAAATCTATTGGTCTGAATTGGTCTTTAAGACTTGCTTTGCATCAAACTAACTACTTTTCGGTAGAGGGCCTGGAGGTTAATGGCCATGCTGTGATTTGTGCTCATGCCGAGAGCTCACAGAAATAGCCTGAGATTTGATCTGTTGTCACAGATGTAAACAAAGTGCAGACATTTCATTGGTTGTTTTGGTAGAGGCCCATTGTGTCTGATTGGCTTATATTCAGGATATCAACACGCTCACTGTTTAGGAATTTGGTCTCGTGGAACACATGCAAACAAACACTGCTCTTTATTTCTACAGTAGTTTATACTGTTTTGAGACAATCGGTTTAGACCTGTTTCTCTATAACAAGCATCACTGTTTCTGTTGTACATACTTAGGGTTAGGAATTTGAATAAATCCCTGTCCATGAATGTGAATTATTGGGGGAATGTGGAGCCTGGAACCCCTAATTAAAGCTTGAACAAAAAGAAAACCAAAAAGAATTTGCTTGTTATTTGACAAAACATGGAGAGATATGGAGTGTGTCCCAAATAAGTCACTTAGGATTTGGAACAAACTTCTGACTTATGTATTAAACTTTGGAGTTTTGAGAAGTAATTAGACTTATATAATTTTCCCCTGGCTAGTTGGTCACCTTTTCACATTTTTGTTTCATTTTTCATCTAAAATGTATATTTCCTTTTTAATTCAACTTTATTTAAATGAACAATAACGTGTTTAATAGTTATAGTTTCAGTTATGGTTGGGTGGTTTGATGCTATACTGTAGATATTGTGGCGACAGCCAATAAAATGTCTATCGTTAGAGATAGTTTTGATGTAAAGCTCTCAAATTTCATCGAATAGATGAAAATGAGATGAAGATGAAAAAAGGCTTACAGGTTTGGATTGGCACAAGGGGGAGTAAATTTTCTAATTTTCAGTGACGGTGTCTGTTACTGATTAAGAAGAAAGGTCAAAAAATCAAATTGATGGTTGCACAGATGGTTCCTCAGAGACTCCCGCTGCCATTCTTTCTCCAAAATATATAATACCCCACGTGTGTTGTGTCAAAATGGCCAAAGAACAGAGGGGCGGAGTAAGCGAAGCTCATTATCATTTAAAGACACATGCACCTAAATGGCGTACTTAAAGGGTTAGTTCACCCAAAAATGAAAATTAAGTCATTAATTACTCACCCCCATGCTGTTCCAACCCCGTAAGACCTTCGTTCATCTTCGGAACACAAATAAAGATATTTTTGATTGAATCTGAGAGCTAGATCAGTCCTACATAGACTGCCTGAGGGACTGGCTCTTGACGGCCCATAAAGTCATTAAAGAAAAGGTTTAAATATTCCATGTGCCTACAGCGTCTCAATTATAAGTTTATCAAGCGACGAGACTACTTTTTGTGCGAAAAAAACATAAATAACGACTTTATTCGACTATTCCATTACTTCCTTATTGGCGCATGTGCGAGAACTGAAACAAGGACGTTCTCATTCGTCTACTTCTTGTTACCGGCTGCTCACCGCTTAGGAGTTTTACCGCCCCCTACCGTATAAGATGATGTGCTGATATAGCTGGAAGCGCAAAACTTTCTGTTTACAAGCAGAGGAAGATGCGCGCTGTACATACGCTTTTCAATTAGCATATTTTCCGCACTATAAGGTGCACTTAAAAGCCTTTAATCTTCTCAAAAAACGACAGTGTTCCTTATAATCCGGAGCGCCTTATATATGGATCATCATCTTATACGGTAGGTGGCGGTAAAACTCCTAAGCGGTGAGCAGCCGGTAACAAGAAGTAGACGAATGAGAACGTCCTCGTCTCAGTTCTCGCGCATGCGCCCATAAGGAAGTAATAGAATAGTCGAATAAAGTCGTTATTTATGTTTTTTTCGCACAAAAAGTAGTCTCGTCGCTTGATAAACTTATAATTGAGCCGCTGTAGGCACATGGAATATTTAAACCAGGACTGATCCAGCTCTCAGATCCAATCAAAAATATCTTTATTTGTGTTCCGAAGATGAACGAAGGTCTTACGGGGGTTGGAACAGCATGGGGGTGAGTAATTAATGACTTAATTTTCATTTTTGGGTGAACTAACCCTTTAAAACAGAGCTGTTTTTGACCTGGTAAAATGAGTGTTTTCTCACAATACTAATGAGAATTTTAAATCAAAGTATATTACAAACTTTTCATTTAGACCCTAAAGAATCATATTAACTTATGATATGACCCCTTTAATGTTAATCAAACAAAAAAAGATAAAATAACTTAACTTGATTAACTTTTGTAGCTTTATACAATAAAGACTATGCAGTGTTTTATTTTTACATTTTAAATTATTATATATTTTTTTTCTTTATTTCGAACTACATGTTAAATAAAAATAATTGTTCTTGGAAAACCTAATTTAATTCATATTTTTGATAATATATTTGCCCTATTGTTTGTAATTTGCTTCTATTTCTTATTTTTAATATCAACAATAAAATAAAATAACCAAAATAAGTATGTGAGCAAGATCACCGTCTGCTGATATACAGCCATATCGCACGACTCGTGATATTGCGTTTCTACAACAGTTTGGCAGAACAAGTGAGCAATAATACAACTATAATATAAAACTAAAGCATCCATTTAGTAATGCCCTGCTTTTTAAAAATATGCTCTCAAATGTCATTTATATGCTTTATTTCCTGTTTGTTAGCATTACTGGGACATTTACACATATTATTTGGCAAACAGGAGATAGAGTTTTCAATGTATGCAATTTGTTGTATACTAATTGCAGGTGTAGTATGGTTAGAAATGCAGTTTGTCCATATCTCTAGTTGGAGATTTGTTCTTAATAATTCTGAAGGGTAACTCTTTTGTCATTCATTCCAAGCTGGAACTGAACCTGTGACCTTTATATTACCAGCCCAGGTCCTTAACCATTAGTATCCCCTACATTTCAACAGCTGTGTCAACGTTTTGACATTTGATTAAAAAAATGACTTCATTTGTTCTTGTCATTGACCTTTTGTAAATTACAGAGTGTCACAGCCATACCCGAGGGTCTCCTGCTGGAAATATAAATGAAATTGTATTGCCTGAGAACTGAGAGGAAGAGAGAGACGGAGATAGCCTATAGATGATATGCCATTTGTATCATGAGGAAAAGCCAGTGATACAGAGTAAGATCCAATAAATGGACTTCTCCTCCACATCACTGCTTTCATTTCTGAAAGCGGCTGTCAGACGTCTGAGTAATTTTATAGGCGTCCCTGTCAGATTGCTCTGCAGAGAGAAGTGCAGTTCTCCTCATCGCCTGTGAGGGGCGCTGAATCACCACGGTCACTCACCTCACTGAAGAAACGAGCTGAAATGGAGCGTTTATTGGAAATGCTCTTTACAACCACAGAGGACCCTGGCTGGTCACTGGCTAATAAAAGCTAATTTATGTTCGTGATGTGTGTTTTAGAGCCTCTGCCCCTATCAATATTGCATTAACATCCACCCCAATGGATCCTGTAATGCTGTTATACAGAATAGAGTGCTCAGCTTGGCTTTTCTGCATTGTCAAGGGGGTGTTAGAGGGAGAATGCTGGAGGATGTGGCATTTGAGTAGGTTGCCTTCTGATATGCAGGAACCCTGGCTGATCATTCCATGAGTTCTCAGATGACATTCCTGCCTTGTATCATTTCGAGGAATAAACTGTTATTGGTATGTCTTGGTTTGGTGCAGACTGCCATTATAATAATAACAACCATTAATCAACTGTAATTGACTTGTATTGATCTAGGAATTATCTGCTATGTAACATTCAGCTGATGTCGGCCCAAGACAATTCCACAAAATCTCTTTGCTTGGGAAAAAAAATAAGATACATAGATAGAAAAAGATATATATATATATATATATATATATAGATAGATATATCTTTTTTTTTTTTTTTGATTTTATATATATATATATATATATATATATATATTTAAAAAAAAAAAATATATATATATATATATATATATATATATATACATGTATGTGTGTGTATTTATAATATATATATATATCTTTTATTTTTTATTTTGTATATATGAAGAGTTCAGATGCAAAAGCCTCTAAATGCCATTTGAAATTGTCTTCTTTAATGATGATTTTTATCAAACTTGTATATTTAAGTTCAGAAGTTCAGTAATTTCACTTAAATAACAATTAATAGGTAATTATCATTGCCATTTAAGTGAAATCACTGAACTTAAATATACAAGCTTGATAATGATCATTCTAGAAGAAAATTTCAAATGGCACTCTTCATATATGTGTGTGTGTGTGTGCATATTGTAAATATTTTTGGAAAATATAAACTTATAATTTCCATCCATCCATCTTATGAAAAGTAATCATGATCATTATTAATGATAAGAGGTAATCATGTAGATTATTAATGATAAGTAAGTAGTAATCATGATCATTGTTAATGATAAGTAAGTAATCATGATCATTATTAATGATAAGTAAGTTATCATGATCAATATTAATGATAGATAAGTAATCATGATCATTATTAATTTAATTAATTCCTAATAATTAATAATACATACATAATGCATACATAATTAATTACAACAAATACTACAATTTTAATACGTTACATATTCACATTTTTTGCATTTTCACTGCATTTCTTTTCTTTGAGGTAAAACAAGAAGTTTCACATTGAACATACATTTATTTTATTTTCCATTCCTATTCAGTGACTGCATGTTGACAGTGATGATCTAACTGTCTCTGGTACACTTTAAAATCAGTAAGATCCTGGTCAACACCTGTTGACTTGCTGTGTCATATGTTGCCTGTATATCTCTGTTTTGTTTAGAAGAGCACTCGGCACCTGGGAGGGCTTGAGTTTGTCCGCTAATGACCCCGTCAACATTTCAACGTTCCTTCCGGTTGGAACGTCAAAACATTGTCTCCACCGAGCCGCCCCATGCCAAATAAACGTGCCGGTGTGGGTGGATAGGGAAGGACTGGAGATCACAGGAACTCAATCTAAACAAATCACTGCCCCATGTGGCCGTCTAACCTTTGAGTTGGTTTGAATGTCCGGGCTGAGCGTCAGTGTAGCACAGCAGAGAGTTGAGATGCATGGGTATAAGCATAGACATCAGGCGGGAGTCAGTGTGTGACTCTAAGTGCTGACCCTGAAATATAGAAGGGAAACAAATAGCAGAAGTGCACCACAGTAAAGTGACTTCATAGCAGCCTCTGCACTTTTTATCGATTCCTCTCTACAGAAACTGCTGTTTCTTCATTTTGTTGGCTAAAGGTCTCTAAAAAGACCTAAAGAACAAGTAGTCTGTTTCATTAGTCCCCTGTTTTATTAAAAATGTCAATTTCTCTCTCTCTTTTGATAGATCTTGCGTGTCTACATCAAAGAAAGAAAGCCCTGGTGAGTATCTGCACCTTTTAACATTTCAATTCTTTTGTAATATTGAAGCAAAAGGTCAATTTCCCTTTTCGACATTAAGGAGCTGACCAACGGGAGAAGAAGTTCACAGCCCATCGCCGTGAAGGCGTGACGAGCCCTCGTACGTATTTCTATGCCGATGAGAAGAAATGCGACCAGCACATGGAGACTTTCCTGAAATGCATCAAAGCCTCAGGTAACAGACCTTCTGTAAAAGCTAGTAGTTAACTTTGGAATTGGACTCCGTTTACAAGCAAAACAAATGCCAGAAGCTACAAATACAGTGACCGTAACACACGAAGTAGGGCACTTTGCTCAAATAGGTACTAAGAAGAGCCTAAAACTTAAAAAAAATTAAGTCAATATTATTTATCATTTCAATTTATGCTCGTGTGAATTATTTTAAATGACAACTTTAGACACTTTTTCCCCTTGTTCTTCTAGCTGAAAAGCCCTTGATAACATAAAAAAATATCCGACTTTCAAAGAAAGTTCATCTCGACAGACTATAGGTCTCTTTTTTTTTTTTTTGAAAGAAAGGCCAGGTCTGAGAATGATGTCAAAACAACGCCCCCTGGTTTCCTATGGGGTTTTTCAATTTATATAGTAAATGAAAGGCTTAGTTCACTCAAAAATTAAAATTCTGTCAGTAACCAACCCCATAAGACGTTCGTTCATCTTCGGAACACAAATTAAGATATTTTTAATGAAATCTGAGAGCTGATTCACTCCATTGGCTACTTGGTAATTGCATCTGCCAGCGCAGAAAAGTTTGTAAAAACATGGTTAAAATAAGTGACTACAGTGGCTCAACCTTAAAGGCACACTATGCAAGAATTGCACATTAAAGGAGTAGTTCACTTTTCACGTTCGTGACTTGTTCATCAAAATGAATGAATCTTTTTCCGAGTCAATTTGTTCGTTTCGTTCGTTGAATGAACCAAATGACTCGGAGAAAGATTCATTCATTTTGATTGGTCAGTTCGAACAGGAGAGTCACAAACGTGCGTCACAGAACGGAGCAAGGTGAGCATTTGAGCTTATAAAACTTAAACTTGGTTATTTATTTATTAAATGAGCGATCGTTTCGCTTGATAAGACCCTTAGTCATCGTCTGGAATCGTTTAAAGCCCTTTGAACAGTTTGCACTGAAAGTGTCTTTTGGACCTTGAACCGTTTGGTTCCCATTGAAGTCCATTATATGGAGAAAAATGCTGGAATTTTTTCATCAAAAACCTTAATTTCTTTTTGACTGAAGATAGAATGACATGGATATCTTGGATGACATAAGTAAATTATTAGCAAAAGTTTTTTCAAAAGTGAACTACTCCTTTAATATAACAGCTTCAAAGTCATATCGGTGGTAAACAAACACATAGTAGGGCGAATCATCCTGGTAGTAAAGCTTGGGGGGGGTGCCGTTGGAAAAACCAGCAATGCGAGTTTTAGATGAGCGCCCCGACAAATCTTGCGGGAATCACGACATGCTTTACAGCAACGAAGTCTCACACATCGACCACAACATGAAGAATGAAGACATTGCGCGCATTTCAGACGTGACACTCAACGATGGAAAAAACAAAGAAAATGCGGTCGAAAGAGACTAGAAAAACGAAAGAGAATGATCTATCTGCTCAACCCGTAATTAAATACATCGGTTTGAGTTCTTTAATGGTCTAGTGGTGGATCTTTAGAGGTTACAGGTTCTAAGTTTTTTCTCTCTCATCAAAACTGAATATGTTCATCAGTGGTTCCAGTCTATATCAAGCAAGGACACGTTTTTGTGCATTTTAATTTGTGATTTCACCGGAACGAATAGAGTCCCCGCAACTGCGATAGATTAAAGAGCTTGAAGACTGCGCGCGCGCCGCAACAAGAGACACTATGTATCCATGACACTGATAGCAGCGGACACGAGCGCTCAGCTTGAGTTCTAAAGCACATTTTAGCGCTAGATCTCTTATTTAATACAAATTTTGTACCTTATTATAACAGCGTCCAATGGGTATCAGGCTGCGAGTGCAGAGACCAGTCCATGGCAGAGATGCTCTGCGTGAGTGGTGTTTACGACAGTAACATTAAATACAAGTACTCCAAACCGACTCTAGGGGTCGCTGTTTGACAAAAATGGAATTCCTGCATAGTGTGCCTTTAAGTTTATTAAGTGCTCTCAGCTCACAGATTTCATCCAAAATATGTTAATTTGTGTTCGAAGATGAACGAAAGTCTTAAAGGGTTGGTGATTTTTGGGTGAACTAACCCTTTGTTACCTACTGTAACTTGAACATACTTTGACGTTTTGTTCTACAACATGTATTACTCGCACACCCATACCGAAAACGTGAATTTTGAAGCAGTTATGTCTTTTACGGGGTTTGAGTGTGTACATTTTAACTTTAATGGTGAACTCTGAAACAATGTTTTCAGGCTTCCTTCAAGCCTCTTTTCGGTTTGCAAGACTTTGAGATTTGAGACTCTTTTAAAAAGTAATGGGACATAAAAAAGTGTTCTCTATTCATGGAAAGTGGTGCAAACTTCTACCCTTTGATTTCTTTAAATCTTTTTTTTTGTGCATTTGAATGATTGTTTTTATGCTAGAGAAAGTGCCAAGAAAGCATGGAGCTGACCAGCTTTTGAAAGCATTTATATTTGTTTTCCATTATGCCAGAAGTATTGGAGAAACACCCATTGAAATGCACCGGCAACATTATGTATAACTGCATAGAATTCATTCAGTGTTCCTGGAAAATTGCTCTTAAAAAGGCAGTTTCACTTTCAGTGCTGCACTCACCTCTAAAATAACTCTAAAAGAAAATCACCTGCCTACTCAGGTGGAAGTTCTGAAGATGGTTTCTCCGCTATTAAGATGACTGCCCTGGGGCGCCCACAATTCCTGGTAAGGCTGAGGTTCAGGCAGGGTTCATTCATCAGAAAACACGGGTTAAAATCCGTCACCTTGGTGAACTAAACGGGCTCTTCATCCTTCCCTCGGGCGTCTGTAGCTCAAGTTCTCCGAGGTGCTGGTGAAGTGGAGACGTTTTTTCAGTTTCCTGGCTGCCAAGCAAGGGAAAGATGGCGTGGAGGTGCTGGAGCAGAAACTGGATTTAGAGCAATTGCAGGTATGCTTTGGGTTCAAACCGCGGCCAAACACACAGATCAACTGACACTAAAGCGTGTTTAATTCTGAAAAAGGACTGTAAGGCATCTGTAACATCTGACATACAGCAAGCAACTGGAGGCTGTATTGCAATGACTAGATTGTACGAGCTGCATTCATTTTAATGGCAAAATGTAATTAACATGACAATAAATAATTAAGTAGTCTTTTAGCTGACAGTTGTTTCTAAAGCAACTTACATGGGACATTTATACAAGATCATTTCCTCTAGAGAAACCTTGCTCAAGGGTACAATTGAATTGTGATACTGCATGAATTGACACGTGTGGTTTGAACTGTAATAGCCCAGATTTTTAACCACTTAAAGGGTTAGTTCACCCAAAAATGAAAATTCTGTCAGTATTTACTCACCCTCATGTTGTTCCAACCCCGTAAGACCTTCGTTCATCTTCGCAACACAAATTAAGATATTTAAGATATTAAGATCGCTCCTGCATTCAGTCCATAGGCTTCTTGAGGGACTGGCTCTTGCTGTCCTCGAAAAGTCATTAAAGACATCGTTAAAATAGTCCAAGTGACTATAGGGGCTCAATCTTAAGTTTATCAAATGACGAGAACACTTTTGTGCGCAAAAAAACAACAAAAATAACGACTTTATTTCAACTATTCGTTTATTTCTCCCTCTGCGCGTGTCAGGTTACTAGTTTAATAGCGTAAGCTTCTGTTATTGTACGTCACACGCATCACACACACATGACCAGCGTCGGCCAATAGTGAGCCTACGTGTGACGTAGCTCTACGCAATCACACTACGTTAACTGACTTACAGGCTCATGGAGAAGGACGTGATAGTTGAAATAAAGTCGTTATTTTTGTTGTTTTTTTGCGCACAAAAGTGTTCTCGTCGTTTGATAAACTTAAGATTGAGCCCCTGTAGTCACTTGGACTATTTTAACGATGTCTTTAATGACTTTTCGAGGACAGCAAGAGCCAGTCCCTCAAGAAGCCTATGGACTGTATGCAGGAGTGATCTTAATATCTTAAATATATTAATTTGTGTTCCGAAGATGAACGAAGGTCTTACGGGGTTGAAACAACATGAGGGTGAGTAAATACTGACAGAATTTTCATTTTTGGGTGAACTAACCCTTTAACTGCCACATAATCACCAATATTTCATTAAAAACATGAGCATATTTGAATCTTTTCATTCATTATGCAAATACATATTAATGTGCATTATATTAGCGCACCAATTCAGAAAATTCCGTCATCAGTCTCTTACTTCCGTAAAAGTAGAAGTTCCACCCTGTAATTTTGCATACAATAATTAAACTCTGGCCATGCAATGTGAAACTCCAAAAAGGACAAAGAAAGCACCAGTAAAACCCCCATAAAATTCCCCATATATTAGCTTTGTGTGATATGCACTGATATACACTCACCTAAAGTATTATTAGGAACATCTGTTCAATTTTTCATTAATGCGATTATGTAATCAACCAATCACAATGCATGGTCCTGGTCAAGACAATCTCCTGAACTCCAAACTGAATGTCAGAATGGGAAAGAAAGGTGATTTAAGCAATTTTAAGCGTGGCATGGTTGTTACAGTATTTCACAATCTGCTCAGTTACTGGGATTTTCACGCACAACCATTTCGAGGGTTTACAAAGAATGGTGTGAAAAGGGAAAAACATCCAGTATGTGGCAGTCCTGTGGGCGAAAATGCCTTGTTGATGCTAGAGGTCAGAGGAGAATGGGCCGACTGATTCAAGCTGATAGAAGAGCAACTTTGACTGAAATAACCACTCGTTACAACTAGGGTTGGGTATCGAGAATCGAGTATCGATTGGAACCGAGACTAACTTTTTGTTTTTCCCGGAATCGTTCAAAAGTTAAAATTTCGATTCTTAGTTTCGATATTCACAGTCCGCCGAGCAGAAGAAGAAACTGCTGAACACCACCAATGAAGAAGCGTCTACCGGAAGTGTTGCCATAACCGCGCAAGTCGAACATGAGTAGCTTACGTCGGCGATCCAAAGTGTGGCTTCACTTTTCTAAAAATAACGAAATCTCGGCAAAATGCAAAATTTGTGTCAAAAGGAATATTTGTGACAAAAGGAGTATTTCCTTCCGAAAGGAGTATTTCCTTCAGAAAGGCCGTTGGTTAGCAAGGTTAGTTAAACTTTTTTGACCCTGCCTCTTAAAAGAATCGGAATCGAGAATCGTTAGGAACCGGAATCGAAACAAGGAATCGGAATCAGAATCGTTCAAATTCAAACGATACCCAACCCTAGTTACAACCGAGGTATGCAGCAAAGCATTTGTGAAGCCACAACACGCACAACCTTGAGGCGGATGGGCTACAACAGCAGAAGACCCCACTGGGTACCACTCATCTCCACAACAAATAGGAAAAAGAGGCTACCATTTGCAAGAGCTCACCAAAATTGGACAGTTGAAGACTGGAAAAATGTTGCCTGATCTGATGAGTCTCGATTTCTGTTGAGACATTCAGATAGTAGAGTCAGAATTTGGCGTAAACAGAATGAGAACATGGATCCATCATGCCTTGTTACCACTGTGCAGGCTGGTGGTGGTGTAATGGTGTCGGGGATGTTTTCTTGGCACACTTTAGGCCCCTTAGTGCCAATTGGGCATCGTTTAAATGCCACAGCCTTCCTGAGCATTGTTTCTGACCATGTCCATCCCTTTATGGCCACCATGTCCCCATCCTCTGATGGCTACTTCCAGCAGAATTTTCATTTAAAATTAGTTTCTTGAACATGACAATGAGTTCGCTGTACTAAAATGGCCCCCACAGTCACCAGATCTCAACCCAATAGAGCATCTTTGGGATGTGGTGAAACAGGAGCTTCGTGCCCTGGATGTGCATCCCACAAATCTCCAACCACTGCAAGATGCTATCCTATCAATATGGGCCAACATTTCTAAAGAATGCTTTCAGCACCTTGTTGAATCAATGCCATGTAGAATTAAGGCAGTTCTGAAGGTGAACGGGGTCAAACACAGTATTAGTTTGGTGTTCCTAATAATCCTTTAGGTGAGTGTATAAGTTGTTATTGGGTAAAAAAATCCTCCAAGAGCTAGTTTATTTTTATTCAGCTTGAATTTTGAAAATATTGCAATTTAAGCTGTCATTTAACTTATGTTATATAGAATGGTGCCTTTTGGAGAGTAAAACCTGTTCACACCGGGTCTGTGGGGGTCTTGAATGTTCCTCAATGTTTCTGTGTGCATGATCTGCAAGTGATGTGCTTCTGTCTGTGTGTGTGTGCGCTTTACAATGCAGCAGCACACTAGTTTAGAAAGTGCTTGCATGTGCATTCACCAGATCAAAATTGACTATCCAGATGGTATAATCAAAAATATCTTTTGGAGTGCTTTTGGAGTATGCATTTATTTGTCATTCAATCTTTTGGAAACGAAACGTAAAAGTACACTTCAAAGATTTCTTATCCTGTTGCGCCCTGTATAGCAATGACTAGTCTACTTTTTGGAGTGTTTGGTCTGATGAATAAAAAGTGTTTTCTTTGCAGACATGTCTAGCCAGGCTGGGAGCTCAGGGCAACATTCAGAGCTGCTTCTCTGATGGACGACTGCACTCATCAGGGTGAGAAACGCCAGTTTCCCGTAGCTGTTCTAACACTCAGACTTGTAAATCAACCCAATCAATGGCAGACAATGAAGTTATCTTATGAACTGAGGAGAGCTACTCAAGGACTATTCTACGGGGGCTCTATTACACTGCCCTGCTTGCCCCCATTGAGTCAACTAAACCCCTTTGTACCTCATATAAGAGCAATTTGCTCCACTGAATCGACCAGTTCTGTAATGATGCTTGTTCTAAAACATCATCTGCTTAAATATAAATGCTATATTGTATTTGTTTCCTGAAGCATGGTGGACATGCTGGACTGGAACAGTCTGATCGACGAGAGAACAAAGATATCCAATCTACTAGTTGTCCCAAACCTGCAGGTAGGCAGACAGCGAGAAACCGATACCTCAACCACAGCATAAATGAAGAGGGTTATGGATTTCTCATGGTGTAATTGGTTCTATAAACACTGCAAAAGCCCCTTCATAGTTTTTAGTTTTTCCTAGGTAATTTGAGTATGAAGACATGTATAGTAAGGAATTTTGCCTGAAAGAGAAACAAGAGCAGAAGATAGTCTTCGTTTATTTGTTGTATAATGTTATGGTGAATGTTTCAGCATAAAAATAATACTTAAAATATTACTGGTGCTTTTCTATGTGGTTGCTAATGAATAATTTGAGTTATTTTATATCGCTGTTATAAGCATCAACTAAAACTATAAACATTTTTTTTTTCATTGAAATAATTCTAAAATAAAATGAAATGCAAATATTTGAAATAAAATACATTAAATTAAAAATAGAAATGCTGTTTTGGCAACTAACAGATTTTTTTTTTAAGTTGAAGCACTAAAACTACTACTGGAAATAAACTAAAACTGAAATAAAAATAATTTAAACCTAAATATATGTATTATTTATAATAATTATACATTTTAAATATTAAAATATGAATATTTTAATTAATATTTGAATAATATATATATATATATAAATATTGAAAATTAAAAGCACTTAACAAAATTACTAAAAAATAAACACAAATTTAAGTGATAAAGTATGAGCAATAACAATTAGCAAGCACCACTAATAAATATTGTTTCCAAACAGGTTTCCAAAAATCAGACAGGTTGTTCCTCTCCAAAATTGGGCATTTGTTGACCAGTTGAAAGTTGGCATGTTAGGGCTTGTTCACACAGAACACGTTTTTATGTTAAAATTGCGAGATGCAGGCCAGTAGAATGGAAAAAAACTCAAGTTATAGAGACGCGTTTTTTAAAAGTTGAACTTTTAACTAGCTCTGTGTTTTTTGAATGCCATGCCATGTCATGCGGGAGATCCTGCAAAAACACATAAGCCGTGATGTCTGTCTAGCCGTGTTTACACTTAAAAACAAGGAAAGGTTAACTGAAATAAAAATCAAAAACATATTTTGATTTAAATAAATATGCTCTTTACCTTAAATATTTCTATCCAATAATTAAAAACCATCTGTTCTGGGGAAAAAAACAAAACAAATAAGAGACTGAAAAAAGTTAGTATTATTACTAAGATTCACTTAAATAAAAAACTAAAAATGCACCCATAGGTGTTCAAATTCTGATTATCTTTCTTTCTTTCTTTATTTTGAACAGACTGGTCAGTTGGAGCCTCTTTTGTCCAAGTTCACGGAGGAAGAGGAAGGGCAGATGAAAAGGATGCTTCAGCGACTGGATGTGTTGGCTAAGGTGCGTTCATTGGCTGTTGTTCCTCTTATGTTTCTCCTGTGGTATTCATGCGGAGTGTCAGAAGGTCATGGTCTACCAGAAAGTCATGGATGAAGAATATAACAGAGATTGATTTTGAGAAAGGCTTCAGCAGAGTGTAGAGGTTAGAGAGTTGTTCTGCCCCGTCGACTTGATGTGAGGAACATGTATCGGGTTTATGTCGCCACTGTGAAAGCCCTCTGGTACAAGCAGTACAAGCTGTGAGACTCACAGTAGGCTCAGTGCTTCCTTTATTTTTAGCCTGGAAGTACCAAATCAAACAAAGTTTTGAGATTTCATAAAACTGGTTTTCCTTCAAAATTATAAGTGAAAGTGAAAGTATGGTAACTCATACTCAGAATTTGTCCTCTGCATTTAACCCATCCGCGTTAGTGCACACACGTATAGAGGAATTAGGAGTAGTGATTAGTGAACAATCACTGCAAACCATGGACACACACACACACCCTGAGCAGTGGGCACTCATTTTGCTGTGGCGCCCAGTAGGCTTTACCAGGAGATGTACACTACCGTTCAAAAGTTTGACGTCAGTAAAAAAAAAAAAATAATAATAATAATAATAATTTTATAATTCATAATTATAATTCAGCATTGGTTAATCAAATGTATCAAAAGTGTTTTAATACATTTACAAAGCCATAATGCTGTTCTTTAGAACATTCTATAAGAATCCTGAAGAAAAAATTGCAGTTTCCACACAAATATTATCAAGAAAAAAAAAAAAAAAAATAAGCAGCACAACCATTTATAAATTTGATGTATATAAATAATAAATAATGTTTCTTGAGCAACAAATCCGCATATTATAATGATTTCTGGAGGATCTTGTTACACTCAAGCCTGGAGTAAATATGCTGAAAATTCAGCTTTGCATCACGTTTCGAAAATACATTAAAATAGAAAGCCATAATATTTACTGTATTTTTTGATACAATAAATGCAGCCTTGGTGAGCATAAGAGACTTCTTTTAAAAACATTAAGAAATCTTACCCGTCCCAAACTTTTGAACATCACATTAATTATGAACATGTTTTAGCTTTTAAATCTACCAAACTACTTTGAATATGAACTGTTTGTTTGCAAAGCTTGCATGTGCAATCTTTCTTTAACCCTCTGAGTTTCTTCGTTTAGGGCTTAGCTTCCTCCCGGTCAAACAAGACCGAAGCCTTAAAATTTAACTTTTTTTTTTTTTCCCAGGAAAACCAATCAAATATATTTTTGTTCAATAATATTTTTTTATTATTATTTAGATTTTAATTTATTATTTTAAGATTTGTATGATACTTTGCATTAATTATATCATTTTTATGAGCTATTTTTTCCATTAAAATTAATATATTTTATTTATTTTTATTTACTTTTTTTTTTTCAATAAATGCAACATTTCACATCAAAATAGAGTGCAGACTGCCGGCAAAAAAAAAAAAAAGTCAAATGAGAAGACCAGTGGATTTAAAAATATATAAATGTGTGAAATGTCATTAACCTCCTGTAGACTGCCTCTATATAAATGCATAGAAAAACTTTGTGTTTCCTATTGTTGTTTTAGACATGATTTCTATATTTTATTCGGATATTTATATATATATAAATATATCGGATATATTTTTTTATTTAGATATTCTAACAGACTTTATTTTTATTTTATTTTTTAGATAGCATCAGGTTTTGCATTATGAGTACAATCAAACAATAACATTATAGCTTCTTATATAAATGCATAGAAAAAGCATGTCTAAAACAACAATAGGAATCAAAAGGCCTTTCTATCCTTTCTTTTTTTATTTAGAGATATTCTATTATATATATATATATATATATATATATATATAGCCTATCAGGTTTTGCATTATGACTACAATCAAATAATACCATTTGGTTGGTAACAGTAACAGTTTTCGGTCATTTTTGACCGAAAAAGCCCAGAGAATAAATGCCAATTAGATTATTATTTTGTTATCTAATGCAATGACATGCAAACATGCAAACAGTAAACTTTTTAGCACCACTGTATCATCAACATTATTATCGCAGAGGTTTATAACATCATTATTTGTTGACTGTCTGTGGCAATATCTCCTTTTTTGTCAGCTGATGAATGTGTTTTTACCTCACGGTTACACTGCCTGCTTCTCATGTGCTGAACAGCATGCGGTGGAAAATGGTGTCAGGCTGATGGTGGATGCCGAACAGACATATTTCCAGCCTGCCATCAGCAGACTTACTGTGGAGATGAAGAGAATCTTCAACACAGACAAAGCTGTCGTTTTCAACACCTATCAGTGCTACCTCAAAGTGAGCCTTGCACACACACACACACACACACACGTCTGGCACATATGAAGGGTGTTAACTTGGATCAGATGATGATATTCTTGGCTTTACCTACAGTGAGATGGCTGGATGCTGCGCAGAAAACATGCTGTTATAACAGGAGAACATTTAGACAAAGCTAAATCAAACCTGATATTTAACACTGTTGTGCTTGCAATCTAACGTTGCTTTAAAATTGGTGATGGTGACAATTAAACACGTTTACAAGTTATATTATATTCAGAAGTGAATAAAAGGATTGTTCACCCAGAAATGAAAATTGTGTCATCAATTACTTACCCTCACCCCAAATGTCTCTCATGGGGGGGTGAATATTTCAATGTTGGGATACAAATTTCTCAGATTTCATTAAGAATATCTTAATTTGTGTTCTGGAATGACATGAGAGGATTTTAAGGAATTTTAGATTTTTAATTTTTGGGTGAACGATCTCTTTAATTTCCTGAAATGTTGCCTTTAAAATAAGGTCATCTGTTCTTCTAACATAATGAATTCTCTGTGCTCAGGAGGCATTTGATAATGTGTCCATGGACGTTGAGCTATCGAGAAGGGAGGGCTGGTGTTTCGGTGCCAAGTTAGTAAGGGGGGCTTACATGTACCAGGAGAGAAGCCGAGCAGCGGAGATTGGATACGAAGACCCCATCAACCCCGACTATGACTGCACTAGCAGAATGTACCACAGGCAAGAAATGGTCCAAATTCTTCCTTGAGAATTGCACATTTGAAGTCTGTTCCTGAAAACTAGTGGGCTGCCTTGTTGTACTTTCTACGGCATGAAATGGACCCTCTTAAGTGACTCATCTAAAAGCCCTTCTTGGGCAGCAGCTCCATTAAACGGTCACTCACCCATGGAAAACAAATAGAGTTACTCACAAAAAACACACAAGAGACTCAACTAACACTCACAGCTGATTCCTATAGAGTGGGATGCAGGGCCGCTGGAACAGGGTGGCCATGGACTCCAACTTTCAGCCACATCTCGGTCATCTCTAGCTCATATTAAAGGGTTAGTTCACCCAAAAATGAAAATTCTGTCAGTATTTACTCACCCTCATGTTGTTCCAACCCCGTAAGACCTTCGTTCATCTTCGGAACACAAATTAAGATATTTAAGATATTAAGATCGCTCCTGCATACAGTCCATAGGCTTCTTGAGGGACTGGCTCTTGCTGTCCCCGAAAAGTCATTAAAGACATCGTTAAAATAGTCCAAGTGACTACAGGGGCTCAATCTTAAGTTTATCAAATGACGAGAACACTTTTGTGCGCAAAAAAACAACAAAAATAACGACTTTATTTCAACTATTCGTTTATTTCTCCTCTGTGCGAGTCAGGTTACTAGTTTAATAGCGTAAGCTTCTGTTATTGTACGTCACACGCATCACACATCACATGACCAGCGTCGGCCAATAGTGAGCCTACGTGTGACGTAGCTCTACGCAATCACACTACGTTAACTGACTTACAGGCTCATGGAGAAGGACGTGTATAGTTGAAATAAAGTCGTTATTTTTGTTGTTTTTTGCGCACAAAAGTGTTCTCGTCGTTTGATAAACTTAAGATTGAGCCCCTGTAGTCACTTGGACTATTTTAACGATGCCTTTAATGACTTTTCGAGGACAGCAAGAGCCAGTACCTCAAGAAGCCTATGGACTGTATGCAGGAGTGATCTTAATATCTTAAATATCTTAATTTGTGTTCCGAAGATGAACGAAGGTCTTACGGGGTTGAAACAACATGAGGGTGAGTAAATACTGACAGAATTTTCATTTTTGGGTGAACTAACCCTTTAAAGCCAATTTCAAATATAAGCTGCGATTAGTCATACGCTTAGTTTTTTGATAGTTTGAATGATATTATATGCTTGATTTTTTAATTGTACTATAATATTACATTTGTTTGAGATCTACAGACTTGATCTCTGGATGGCCTGGATTCACAGACAGGGCTTAGATAAAACCAGGATTAGTTTAAGTTCAATTAGGGCATTTCAATTAGCACAAGTTGCTTTCAGTTAAAACAGCTCAAACATGCATTTTAGTAGGGCTGGGTAATAAATATCGATTTTCTCGATATTAATCGATTCATTTTTACGAACTGATATCGATTCTTAAATCTCAAGAATCGATTAGTCATCCTGTTTCATTTGAATGAATGGACATTGTATCGCGACTGCGCGCATCCAAAAAAATCGCAATAATCTTTGTCGTTTGTTACTATTGATATGAAACAAAGTCTCAATTTTCAAATTACGTCCATTTTCTTTAGAAATTCAAAAACATAAATAACGTTTTGGCGCTGTGGCGTGAGATCGCTCTGGCGAGATCGACAATCTCTCTTCCGGGTTAATAATACCAGAACAGCGTGAAATAAACATGAATGAGCCTCTGAAAGTGTGTTAAAGATAGAGTACAACTTATCGAAATCCGTATCATGTCACATTGATTCGCTCAATCAGCGTTTCAACCGTGGAAAGACGTCAATTAAACAGCTTGTAATCAATGTATCGTCATATTTACCTCAGAAAAACACATAAACTCGTTAGTCAGCTAGAAAAAAATAACTCCAGAGAGGAGCATTTAGCTAAATATATACACCATATTACATATGCATTATAATCTTAATGTTCTTCAATATCTAATGCATATTTGAATAAATATGGCAAGTTTTTATGACAGCCACCATTTAAATGTTTATATTTTATATAATCTTCTTATTATAAAAATAAATAAAAGTGTAATTTAAGTGTTTGTATAGCTACAAAACAGTTAATTATTACCTTCATATTAGGCTAATGAAGCCTAGTAGGCTACAACTCAACATGACATCATGATTTTGCGTAAACATATATACGCCACTTTCGAGTCAGGTGGGTGTTATCTCCACGCATTTTGTGCTATCCGCGTGTATGCGTATATGTCAACGCCATTAACGTCCGCGTCATTCCGCGTGTCTGTACACGCCGTCAAATTCCAGTCATAATTGCCATTAACCCCAGTGACGGGTTAAGTTTAGGGATGGGTTGAGGTAAGTCATATCTTTTTTTTTACCTAGGATGGTAAGGGAACAGTCATAAATGC